TGCTGCCTTCTTCATTTCGTTATTTCTGTGTCTGATAATTGTGTTTGCTTTCTCATTCATCATTCCTTGCCCAGAGAGGCCAGTTTCAGAAAGAACATGGTTCCGAAACTACAACAATGCAGGTGAGCTTGCTGTAGCAGAACAAATATTTACCAACAGTCCTTTTCCTTTATGTGCCACAAATTTGAATTGTGGACCTCTGCCTAAGCGCGACCTGGAGCCAGGCCTGTGGGGATGCCACCCTTGGGAGCGAGCGCTGTGAGTACCTGACCTGGATAAGCAATGGCCCGTCATAATTGGAGTGGCCTTCCAGGAGGTGTTTACAGGATCTGGTGTAGAAATTAAATGCTGCTCTAAAGTGCTAACAAGGTAGCAGGCTGGCCTCATTTGGGGAAAAAAATGGGGAAGGGTATCTGGGAATATATCTGTGTTGAAGTTTGATCTATAAAATGTTCCTTTGAAGTTTGAGCTGAAGTTTGCGACAATTGGGCAACTGTCCATATGACTTTCTAACTTTTCTCCATGGCTAACAGGACAGGGAGAAGGGGAATTGCATCTTGTTTTGTTTTTTTTTTTATTTTATTTTATTTTATAAATTGCTCAGAATTGTGGTTGCTTTAGTCAGCTCTTCAGCCTGGGTACTGCTCCCTGGTGGCTCAGCGTTCACTTTTGTGAAAGCTTTACTTTAGTCTTACGTGCAGTGGGTGTGTGCTGGTTGTGCTATAAATGCAGAGATAGTGCTCAGCAACAGGAACTGAGCTTTGTGTCTTAATGCAAAAATCCCAAGTCCTGCTACTCTCAGCTGAAGCAGACTGCTTTTAGCTGAGAGTGAGAAAGATGGAATATCTGGGGCTGGGTTATGTGGGGTTTGTTTGTTTGTTTTATTTTTATTTTGGGAATAGCAATCCCACACCACGACCAGAGTTGTTCTTTGTTCAGCATAGTTCACATTCTGGCTGCATGGCTTTAAAAAAAAACAAATCCTCTGGGGGATAGCAGATCCTTTGGCACTAACTTCCAGTCCTTGGTACTCATGTAGACAACTTTTTTTTAAATACAAAAGCCAATTTGTCCTGATATTACACTGTCAGGGATGGAGGCAGTGAGTAGGTCTCTAGGAATTCGTGTTTTGCTCCAGCTAGCTCTGCTGTGGTTGGGGCAATTGTCACTGGTGTGATCTCTTTTACAGTGGCCTACCAGTTTCTCTCTATAGAAGATGTGAATGAAGACAAAGTGCAAGATGTCATCTTTGCTTTCAAAGCTAGCAATGGCAGCAGCAGCTTCAACAGATCCTGTTTGGATGAAGGTAGCTGATTCAAAACCAGAAAACCTTGTAGTGAAAGGGCTGTTATTTCTCTTTTTTGTTCTAATTAGTGTGGTTGCTGTGGGACTGGGAGAGAAAACCAGCTTAGCTGGGTGGGGAGAGGAACTGGGTGAGTCCCAGCTCTCTGGTGGTGTGGAGCAGCAAAGGTAGATGTAGATAGCGCTCCCTCTGACATCTCTTCTCTTCAGGTCTGCCTTCTCCATGTGCCTTCGTTGCTGCTTTGTCTGGCACGAACGGCGGAGTGCTCTGGGAGAAACCCGCTGCTGAGGACATAGAGTGGATGGAGTGTGGCATCAAGCAGCTCGGGGGAGCTGAGTCCCCAGGCTGCCTGATCGTGGGGAAGCCGATGTCTCTTATGGCAGTTGACCTGAGGACAGGTGAGTGACGAGCAGAGTCCTGCTGCCGTACAGGGCATGGCACTACTTGCATTTCTTACCTTCAGACCTTGGAGGCTGGGGCTGTCAGCATGACAGGACTGGCTGGTACCTGAGCAATGGATGCAGGGTATTTATTATCTTGAAAACCTTGCCAGAGCCATTTGCTGGACTGTTGAGAAACACCTGTTCTTTCAGCCTCTCTGTTCCAAAGGCTGGACTCTGTGGTGGTGGTGGTTTGTGCCAGCCACTGTATTATAAGAACAACTTTTTTCGACAACTTTTGAAACAGGAGAAACACTTGCTAGCTGTGAATGTTACTTTATACTCTCAGGGGTTGGACACAAACCTGCAGTATTTCTCAGTCATTTGCGTGTGAGTGCTAGGAGTGTCTCCAGTAGCAAGAGAACTGGGAATTTTAGGAGTTTATGATTTTAAAGTCATCAAGGACGGTACTTAGGGTAAGTACTTGCCAGTCTGTTTTGGTAGGCCAGGATTTTGCCTGGTTCCTCTGAAAGGCCTTCCTCATTTCTGAGCCTGTAGATTGAGAAATTCTTCATCATCTTGCCTAAAGTAGAGGGTAAAGAGTGCCTGTACTTCTCTAGAAAGAGGGCAGTGATCATTTATTGCACCTTGAACCTTCCTCACTCGTGAAGCCTGAAATACATTTCCATTTTGGGAGTCACCCTTTCAAACATTCTAAACAATGCATGTTTTTCCTTGGAAACACGCCTAGGATAGCATTGTCTGTATCTGGTATTGAACCCTTCACACCCTATTTTCCAAGAATTGGGACAGAAATATCAAGCAGTATAGCTCAAAGGAATCTGAGGAAAATCTAGCATAGCTTTTAATTTCCAGTGTAGATGGAAGCGTAGGCACACACAAACCCAGGAAGCTTCTGTACCAGCTGACATATCTTAGCACCATTTCCCTCATCAGTAGGCTTTAGCACAGGTTATTTATAGACTATTAATGAAGTAGTTGCCTTTAGGTCAAAGTGTAGAAAGGCGACTGCTGAGCCAAAGGCATGTAACTGAAGACAGTCATAAAGAAATAGCACAAACATGGAGTGGAGAAACCAGGCTAAGCCACAGGTCACGGCAACAATGCGGTAAGAAAACATTCCACAGATAAATAAAAAGGAGGAGATGAAAAATTGCTTCAGATAGAAAAGTGAATAACACAGAAGTTGATGTATTTGATACCTTTTTGTGATTAAATAGATTGAAAGGGGTTCCTTAGCATAGTTGACTTTTATTGGGGGTTAGGAGAACAGATTGGAATAAAATGTATTTAAATAGGCTAAATGTATTTAAAGTGGCAAAGTCTGACTTACATCATATTACTGCTAAAAACAGTAGTCAGAACAATCTTCAGCTGTTAATGATTCATCCTCAGGGAGGATTGGTGAGATTCCAGGGCTCTCAGGCTGCCTAGCGTCTGCCTGTAGGAAGATTGGAGGAGAGGCAGGCAGATTATCATCTGAAAGTGTCTGATGTGGTTTTGATCTTTAAATGCTGATAAAGTTAGTGCTTTTCTGTCAATTTGAGTTGTGTTAAGTCTTGCTTTCTTCACTGCCAGAATAAGTGACCTGAGCTAACAAGAAGGAAAGCGTAGGATTGCATGCTTCTGTTTGTGTGGGACATCTAACATTCCTGCATGTTTATCTTATAAGCAAACTGGGACTGAAGAACTTAAGATTAGCTGTTCTGGGTCAAAGCAAAAGCCTGTGTAGCTGCGTATTCCATCTCTGCCAGGGTCAGAAGCATTGATGAGAGAGAGGACAGGAGTAAGTGTTTTGTTACAACTTCTCTCTTCACCTTATCCTCCATCAGCCTGCAGTGTGAATTCTGCACAGTTCTGGTCTCCTAAGGGATATGGCAGAATGGGGGCCACAACGAACAGATGTATGAAATTGCTTTTGTGCAAGAAATCACTAAATAAACCAGAACTCCAGACTGGAGTATGTGTGACAGGGAGAAATTAGTCTATAAAATGATGAGTGATAAATAGAAGAACAGGGAAGTATGATTTCCTGTTGGAAATCTTCATTGCTCTATGGTTCTTTTATCAAGTGATAGGTTCAGAAAAACCAAAAAGGTTCTCCACATCCACTGCAGGGTGGATGATGGGAGCTTACAAGTGTTTAGTAAACAAATGGGCAATGGCACAGGAGAGAGGTCTAACACTGCTTGGTAGAAAATACCAGCCTTTAGCTCAGATAGCTTGTGAGCTGTGGACTGGGAGACTGGTCTTTGGATGTGTGTCCGGACCTCATCCAGCCTGAAGCAAGCAATCCTGCTTTGTGTCCTCTACGGCTGCTTGAAGTGAGAGCTGAACACAGTCATCTGAGTCCTAATTTTATTATTCCTTCTGGACCAAAAAAACCCCCTTTCACCCAGGTTAGATTTGTTGTATAGGCACTTGTCTAATTTCCGTTGTGACTTCTGTTTCTGTGCTTCTGCTGTGACCTTGGCCTCTGAAGAAGCACCGAAGCGCTCTAGACATTCGACAGGATAGTCTTTTCTCCAGTTGATGGAGCAGGGTGGGACTGGATTCACAGTTTGTGCTCTTTGAGGGTTGTGTTAGAGCTCGAAAGCTTCTCAAGTCCTTTGTGTTGAATTCGTCTCAGTTACTTGTTACCTGCTTCTATTAAGTCAGACTACTTTATTAAGAGAGTATAATGCTTCCTCCAAAACTATATCCACTATTTAACCAGCAGAGGATAGAGCCTTATGCATTGAAATACAAATTTCATCAGCCTGGTCTTACTGTTGTAGCTTTGGCCTGCGCTGAAGCCAGGATATAGTTATTTAAAACTTAAGTTCTCTCTGTCCTTTGCCTGCTTTTTTTCTTTGGGGGTAAAACCCTTTGCCTTCCCATGATTTCCCAGGGGCACTCTTCTACTTCACATCTGTTGTCATAGTAACAAATCTGAGCCTTTTTTTTTTTTTTTTTTTTTTTTTTTAGTATTTCAGGAAAAGCTTTGGAGAAATCCTACTGGAAACACAGCCTACCTTAAATTATTGCAGACAGGGTCAGGCAGTAATTCCTTGGTCTTCAGTCCAGCTGCCTTCCTGACAAAGAACAGATTATTACTTTGCATTCTTGAAATTATAATTGCTGTCTGTGATACTTTTTGAAGGGGAGGGTAAACATTTTCCCTCTGAGCACCTACGTAGTCACTTAAGTCTTCCTTAAAAAGAAAAACCCCCACCCATTTCCTGCACCCCACCAAATTCTGCTGCGCAGTGACTGGAGAGTGACAAGCATTCCTGGGCAAAGTGTATGGAGTAACATCACCCATTGGGCCTGGAGCTGTTCAGGAGAAACTCCCCACACACAAACACCATTTTAAAAAACCAAAGCTCTGCTACCTCTGTTTACAAACAAGTTTGAACATGCTGTGCTTGCTCTTTTAGTGAGGGAGAGGTGAGACGTGAACTGAGTTGCTGCTGGTCACACCAGCGTAGAACATCTGTGGGAGGCAAGTTGCGGCAAAAAAGGCTTTGTTAGGAGTAGCTGCAATGCTGTGATCAGAATTTACCTGTTTTGTGGTCTTAAAATGTGGTCTGTGCAGATTTAAGTACACAGCAGCAAGATTTTAGATCACAGAAAAGGATTCTCCATGCTGTGAACATGCTGGGAAGCTTGTTAACCCTAGGCACAAGATAAGTCAGCTGTTCTTTGTGCCCTATGGATTGATTTGTGCCCGGGATTTTGGGGTGCATTAGTGCAGACAGCTAGAATAACTTTCCAGTATAAGCTGAAATTGTGAATACTGGGACTCATTTGGAATGCAACAGAGTACCCCACGATGAGCATAAATGTTACTGGTTTGTGGTGCTGATGGACTGTAAATGGCTGCAAAGTACTTCGGGGAGCAGGGGCATTAAAAGCCTTTCAACCTAAAGTGTGTTTTAGTGAATGTTTCCTAATAACTCTGTCTTCTAGGGGAAGTTCAGTGGAGACAGCCCAGTGACTTTGGAGCTAATTATACTGTGCTGACTCCCGTGTCAGTGATTCCAGATGTGGATAGTGATGGAGTTCAGGACCTGATAATCTTTATTGCTACAGAAGATAAGGTATGTCACTCTGAAGCTATGATAAACCCAGTCGCCTGAGCCCAAGTCATGACAGGAATGCTGTTTGCTTCGATCTTGCATTCTAAGAGGAAGTGTCCAGAGGCCTCTGGTATCTGTGGGGTTGGGGTAGGTTCTTTCCTACCCTGCAGACATGTACTCCCAAATCAATGCAAGTGTATTACAGTTTAAAAGAGAAAAAAGCTGGCCGGGAGTCCCTTGCCTTTTTCAGTCTGTGCTCCTCGCTGCGTGTTCCTGAGCTGTGTGTGGAGTGAGCCTAGGTGAGATGAGCTTGCAGTTTTCTGGGAGTCTGCTCAGAGAAGTGGAAGCAAGCAAACCCTGACAGGTTTGGCTCTTAGATCAAAGCATGGCTGACAACCAGCGCTTTTGTACCTCTGCTGCCCTTTTCTGATACCTTCCGTTCTCTGCCTGTGGTCTGCTTTGCTCAGCTCTTCCTAGTGTCACTGCGCTGGTTAATTCTGACTTGGGTTCATTTAATGAAATAGTTGCTGCTTGTGTTATCTCCATTCCAGTATTGCTTTTCCCATTTCTTAGAGGGGGAAAGTCACGTAGCTAAAAGTGTTTTTATACTAAAACATCTGCATCCAGGACTGAGCGGTACAGCACCATGTGCATGTGCAGTCTGTCCTGTTTAAAGCATACAGAAGATACAGTTCCCTGCAAGTCTGACCAGAGGAGTGGGAGCCCTGTGTCCTCATACCAGAATCCTCCGTAAGCAAACAGGGTTTTGCTGTCTGAGGCATTGTTGTTGCCAGAGTCATCAGAAATTCTGTCCTCTCTGCCTCCTACGTTTCTCTTATGTTTTCTTTCCTCCCTGCTTTTGCTATCCCAGTTATCTAAAGACTTTCTTTTTTTAATTTTAGGCGGCCAAGAAATGTTTGAATGTAGTCTCTGTTCTGCAAGAGTGCCTTTTGATTTGTTTTCCATTTAACCTCTCTAGCTATCTTGGTATGAAATCCCTTCCTCCCTCTGAACTTGGCAAGCTCTCTGTCAGCTTAAGTAAAAGCATGTTCTTTTTTGAGAAATCACCCAAAATGTAGGGAGCTTGAGTGGAGCTCTGTAGCTTGGAAAAAGGCAGTCTCATGGGAAGGGAGATTCGGAACTTAAGTAAATTAGCTTTGGAGCTAAAAAGGGCTGAAGCTGAACATTACATTGTACTGGTGTTTCCTGAAATGGCAGAGCTTTGAGCAACCTGTGGGGAAGGGTTTGTGTGCAGGGGGTTTAGATGGCAGCGTTTTGAGAGTCTTATTGACCCCTGCCTGCTGCAAACGTCAGCACAAATACATGTGTGAAAATACAACGTTTTTCAGGATATATCGCCTGCAGCAGTGCTTAGAGATACTGGGCAATGCAGTGAGTAAGGTGATGTATATTCTCACTCGCTGTATTAATACCTTTGGCGGTTACTGTCCCGGGGCAGCTGCTGAAACAGTGCTTGCAAGGAAAGGTGAACAAGAGCTGGTATGTGTCTCCTCCCAGTGCAGGAGGCTGGTAACAGCTTTCGCTCTCCAGATGTGTTCATTCTCCCCAGCGAGCTCCCTCCCCTTACTCACCTGCCAGATGCCAGATTCACTTCCAGAGAAGCAGATTTCATTTTCTTTCGCAGTCCGTCCATCTCAAGGCAGAGGGAAGGGTTCCTGCCTGACACAGCATCTCTGGTGGATGCTGTTTCTGTTGGGCTGATGTTTCTCTTTTCCCTAGCATGCACTGCTCTCCCCAGACCATGACTGCTGCCCAGACATTTGAGTCTGATCCCAGTTTTAGCCTTTATTCTCTTGGGTGTAATGTTTTTAGTGGATTCCCTTACCCTACACAAAGAATATAAAGAAACCTGTCAGCTCTTTTATCCCCCTGAACTCATGTCAGCTTTAGGAGGAGGAAATTAGGGCACTTAAAATATTTAGCAAAGCTACTGTGTGAAGCCAGGTTTCTGCTGTGTCCATATGCTGCTTTGTTTCTGCCTTTAGGTCCTCTCCACCGTTGTCACTCAGGCGACTTGAATTGATCTTTACTGTCCATAGCAGAACAGGGGCTTGCTGTTTGGCAGTCCCAGCCTGCAGGGGAGGTGGTTGGCAGAGGTAGTAAAAACTCAGGGCAAGTGGTTGTGCTGGAAGTGGTTTGCAAATTTCACAGCAGAGGGATCATCTAACTCGTGCCCACACCTCCAAAAGCAGAGGGAGACTTTTCATCTGAGCCTATGCTGCTCCCATTCAGCTGCTGTTCAGTACCAGCTGCTCAGAAGCTTTGGAAAGCACTCCTGTTGGAGCAGTAACAATGTGATGCAACCTTGACCTTTTTTTTTTTTTTTTTAATCCCTTCCCTGCATAGATTAAGACCTTCATCTATTCAGGAAAAAATGGCAAACAGATCGGCACCACTGGAAGCCTGAATGTGGATGGGAGAGCTCGTTATATCAGGCTGAACCTGGGCTCCTCCTCCTACTTTCTTTTTTATACAGGTACAGTTCTGTTTGTAACTGTAGTCTGAAAGAGCGATTTTAACTCTGAAATCAGGATTACTAAACAGTTGTCTGAAATAGTGTTTTGCATTCTTAAAAGCTGTGTCCTGCTTTCACCTGGCAAAAGCTATTCAAGGCCAAGCGAAAGGGGAAGCTTCTGCTTCTGCTTAAACTAAGCGTTGTTATGTACTGTAGTAATTTTATTTGAAAAATGTTGAGAATGTAAGGTTTAAGTAGTCATTTATAGAAAATTATTGTTGTGGAACACTGGATTATGAACAGATAAGATGTTAAAAGCATTCAAAAGCAGGCTTCAGTCTCAAAATACCACTACAGCTCTATGATGCAAGCCCTAAAAATACAGTTGATCTGGCGGATCTGGAAAACCGTAGAGTTCAGAGCAAGGACAGGATAACTTATCTCTCTTATTCTTGCTTTTTTTTGCACAGAAAACTCTCTCTATGCATATTCCCTGAAAGATCTCTACAGTGCAGCAACTGGGATGGAAATTAAGCTTCCCAGCCTTGAGCAAGATCCTCAGTGGGAAAAGAACATTGACCGTACCACGCACCACTTATCCCTTCTCAGGTGGGATGTTATGTCTTGGTTGCTGGTGGATCGGAGAGCACTGGTGTTTCTGGCAGGATGACCTGTTATGGGTTCTTTTCCAGCTATGTGGCTTTTGGACTAGGAGCACATTCAAAGCTCGAGGAGAGGGCTGGTGTTGATGACCTGGTCAGGGTTTTACAGGAAAAGAGGGAGAACAGGCTGAGGTTTCCTATTTGCATTTGGTGTGCAGGGAAAAAAACCAAAACCTCACGATGAAACCATCCACAGTCTACAAAGCATAATAATTTCCTCTGTCCTTGTTCAGCTCTGGAGGCATTCGTTACCTGACGAAAATTCCCGGGCGATCATGGGAGAACGTCTTGGTTGTGAACTCGGAGATGGCTACAATGATCAACACACACAATCTTCAGACTTTGTGGACCCTCAACATGTCCCGTGCTGTGAGGTAGTGTTACCGATGTGGGTTGGATGTGGCATTTCCAGGTTCCAAGCAACAGCAGCATCCTGGCAGACACTACTTTTTTTTTTTTTCATTTGAAACACAAAAGCGTGCTCTGTGGTCATATCTGGATCATGCTTACTGTGCTGTGTGTCCTCTGCTAGCACGTGTCAGGTGCTGCTTCAAAATGAAGGCGCGCAAAGCTTTGATTCTTCATCCTGTGCCTTCTGTGGTTTGGATCAAGAGTTGGGGTTGGTACCAGGCTAACCTGATGTTGTCGAGTCTCTTACCAGGGGAGCTGTGGGAGGATAGAGGCTGCTCTGAAAGAAGAAGGTATGCCCAAACCGTCAGTGTGTGTTATGACCTGTCTGTTCTCTTTCTCTCCCTTAGTGAGCCACTGCTTGGTTACTACAAACCCGATGTTCTTGGTATTGTCCTTGAGAGCGAAATCAGACCCAACAGGAAGAAGGTTTGAAATCTTTTAACTTCCCTTTTCTCTGCCTGTCATAGCTCAAGCAGGCGTTCAGTCAAGGACAGCTGGTGGGATGTGTTCCCTCTGGCTGATTTTAGGAAGCTTTAGGCTGGGAAAAGATCTCTTTCAACAAATTATTGAAGCCAGCTCAGGCACTTAAATTATCTTCTTAGCAACAGGCTTCAATGATGGAGCTTTGAACCTCTTGAAATAGCTGCAAAACTTGTGACTTGACTCTAACGTGACCTGCCCCAGGTCTCACAGCTCTGTGATTCTCAGCTTCAGCTATTTCCTCATCTTCCCATGTGTCAGATGCTTTTTCATATAGATAGTGTGGGGTAGAGACAGCTGACTTGAATTCTCTCTCATGGCTTGTTAGAGTTCTTTGGCATGAGTTCCTTTTCTTTCTTCCTTGCTAGGTTATGATTGTTGAGAGTGAATCTGGAGCCGTCCAGTGGGACCTGAAGTTGAACTCAAGAACAGAGAGCCCTGGGCCTGCCACACTTTCTACTGCTGATCACCGATCCACCTTCCTCATCTGGGGTGAATACCAGGTGCCAGGAAACGAAACGGTGAGTAGTGCTATTGAATGGTTGCTATTCTCCAGACTTTGGGCCAGAATTGGGTGGAACTACCTCCTTCTCCCAGTGTTCACGTTCCCATCTGTCTGTGCCACTAGCACTGCAGCCTCCCACACTGGGTGCGGGATCAGTGACCAGTCTAGAAGCAGGCAGATCAGGCATATGATCTGGTCTGCAGTGGGTCCTCACAGTGTCCATAGCAGCATCCCTGCTAGCAGCTGATGGTGGCACCAGCAGCTTTTATTGTCCTCAGCCTGGCTACGTAGAGAAAAAGGACTTAGTGGCTGTGTGAACAAGAATCACTGGTTTGACTGAAGCCCTGTCTTGCAGTGGTGCTGTAGGTGAGGGGGGAGACTGCTGGGTTGGTACCTCTGAAGTTGTTGTCATTTGGCCAGGAGCCTCCCGTGGCAGTACTGTGCACAGTGGTCTCCCATAGCTATGTGAATGTCCTCTCTCTGTGCCAGGGTGGTCTTTGGCAGCCTGGATGCACAGCTCAGCTGCGTGGCAGAGCACTCTGGGGCGGTGGTTGGTAGCATTAGTGACAGGTTGTGTCTTGGAAGATGCCTGAGCACCAGCTGAGCCTCCTGTGCTTTCCTTGCTAACTCCTCCAGCCCTAAGGCAAAAATCTGTCTCCTACCTGCAGCAGAGAGGCCTGCTATTTGCAGGAAGCTTGTGGTGGGGAGGAGAGCACTGAGCAGTAAGCAAAATCCCAACACTGGTACTGGTGGCATCAGACAGGATGAGTTGGGCAGACACAGACAAGTATCTGACTGGATGTATTCTGTCAAGCATGAGTAATAGCTGAGCCTGGTGCTGCCATTGTTTCTGGGATAACGTGTGGGTCCGTATAGTGATAGTGTCCTGTTGGTTGCAGAAATCCAGAACTCCTCTCCAGAAGCTGTACTTTTTCCATCCTTCCTACACTAATGTCCTGTTGGAGCTCCGCAATAGCACAGACCAAATAGTCGCATTCAATGGTAAGTCCTCTCCTTCCAGCCCTTCAGCAAGGAGGTGCAGGAGGACACTGGTCTTCTGGTACCTCCTGGCCTCTGTTGGGTCTGGTGGCCAGTCTGGACCTGGACAGAGACCTTAGGCTGGGTGTTCTCTGTGCTCTGCATTGCAGCTGCGCTGTTCGAGCGGAGCCGTCACGCCTGCTACGTGCTGTTGAGGGGGCCTCAAGCCGGCGAGGAGCCCGGGTCGGTGTCTCTGATGAAGCGTAAGCTGAAGGAGGACATCTCTGAGAGCAGGTTGATCTGGCTGAGCCAGGTGGCTGTGGACAGCGAGCGGTATGTCCGGGACCGCCTCTATAGGATGCGATTCCACAGTCGAGTGTGAGCTTGCCGAGGGAGGGTGAGAGGCTGCCCTGGCCCAGGCATCTCCAAGCTGCCTCTCCTCCGCTGCTGTGCTTCTTTAAACCCAGGTTACAGATTCAAATGGGAAGCTGCCTTTCTCAATCCTCAAACCAAAGTGTGGCTGGGGGGGGGGGAACCCCCGCCCCTTAGGGCA